TAGTCTATAACTTTTGATTGAGAAGTCTGATCGAAAAAGTACGAATTGTTTTGGATTCTACGCACCAAAATTAATAAGAAAAAGTGTTTTCCTGAGAAATTTTGGTGCAGTCGATTTTTGGCAAAAAAGGAAGGTTATACACTGCCTTTTTTTGAGCCTGAAAAAAAAATTGTCTCAGATCGACCCGGAAAAAAATTTTCTTATAGAATGTGGCCCTGTAGAATCCATAATTTCAAACAGTTCCAAGATTGGGCTACTAGTTCAAAAGTTACAGCCCTTTGAATTTTCTTTCGAAATTGGTTTCTAGTCTATAACTTTTGATTGAGAAGTCTAATCGAAAAAGTACGAATTGTTTTGGATTCTACTCCCCAAAATTAATAAGAAAAAGTGTTTTCCCGAGAAATTTTGGTGTAGTCAATTTTTGGTAAAAAAAAGGAAGGTTATACACTGCCTTTTTTGAGCCCCGAAAAAAAAATTGTCTCAGATCGACCGGGAGAAAAAATTTTCTTATAGAATGTACCCTGTAGAATCCATAATTTCAAACAGTTCGAAGATGGGGCTACTAGTTCAACAGTCACAGCCCTTTGAATTTTCTTTCGAAATTGGTTTCTAGTCTATAACTTTTGATTGAGAAGTCTGATCGAAAAAGTACGAATTGTTTTGGATTCTACGCACCAAAATTAATAAGAAAAAGTGTTTTCCCGAGAAATTTTGGTGCAGTCGATTTTTGGTAAAAAAGGAAGGTTATACACTGCCTTTTTTTGAGCCGCGAAAAAAAAATTGTCTCAGATCGGCCCGAAAAAAAATTTTCTTATAGAATGTGGCCTGTAGAATCCATAATTTCAAACAGTTCCAAGATTGGGCTACTAGTTCAAAAGTTACAGGCCTTTGAATTTTTTTTCGAAATTGGTTTCTAGTCTATAACTTTTGATTGAGAGGTCTAATCGAAAAAGTACGAATTGTTCTGGATTCTACGCCCCAAAATTAATAAGAAAAAGTGTTTTCGCGAGAAATTTTGGTGTAGTCGATTTTTGGTAAAAAAAATACACTGCCTTTTTTTGAGCCCCGAAAAAAAAATTGTCTCAGATCTTATCATGAAACATTATGTCATTGCTAGAATGCTTTATCGCAAGACGATTCTGTTCATTTTTTGGTGCTTTTACAGCTTTCGGTGTAGTCATAAAAAAGACGGTCTCCTTCCTATAACTACGATACGGGGTCTAAACGCGTTCTGACGCATTCAACGTGAGATTACAGCTAAAGTATTGGAGATACAAAAAAAATGTAAATACTCTTTTTTATAGGGAATTTAGGAAACTATATTTTTCATGTAAACTATTTCTTCGTATCAGTAATAGTTGCCGAGACATGGGCAAAAAACTGAAAAAGTGTACCGTTTTTCCAAGATGGCGTCACGAGCGCAACAGATTTTGACAGGGACTTTTAGTATGTTCAATAGAAAGTCCCAATAAATGTGTATACCAAAATTCAGATTAATGTTTTTATTTCTCCAAAATTGCGCTAATTTGCCTGGACTAAATAAGAAAGACCTGTCACTTGATTTTTTCCAAAATTTCTGAGATGGAACTTGAATTATAATTTTAAGTATATGTCTCCGTTTCTTTTCAACTCTCACCCCTTTTCAATCCCAATAAACTACGCGTATTTATATTTCATTTAGTTTAGAGTAACCAATTGGAACATTACTGCCAAATCATGCACTAATATTTTGGTGTGGATTCTAATATTTTTCAACCCAAAAATTGTTGATATAAACAAGAATGTGCTTTTAGGAGAATAAATTAGCATCAAACTTATGCTAAATTATGGCAAGTTAGTAGGTACCTACTACTTATCTCTGTTTCATATTTTTATTGAAGGGTATACACGCACTGTTTACCCTTTGCTGGTTTTATTTATTGGGATAGCAAGGTAGTGCTAAGCTATTTATGGTATGTTACTTATCCCCGATTATATTTTTATTGTTTCAAATCCATTCGCTTTAATTTAAAGTTGAGCACCAAATTACGAGAGAATTTACGACCAAATTTCCATGTCACATTTAGCGATATGTTAGTTTGTGTTAATCTGAAGTTAAGAAGCTGTATATATTTTTGGCATTAATAGTGCAAATACATACCACCTTGTAAAAGTTTAGTACCAAACTTTGTATCCTAATCGTCGGTCGTTTTCTCAAGACATTCATTATCTTTCTGGCCACAATCACTGTAACACTCACATTTTATGAATATATGATGGGATGTTATAAACAGAAATGATGTTAATGGCAGTGGAAACGTAAAGTGTGATATCTGATTTTCTTAATTCCAACCTGTCTTTTTTGTGAATTACTTCACCACTAACACCGCCCGTACCACGATTGTGGCAGGTATTTACTGCACTTAAAACACAATAAATATATAAATTTATGGTGTCCTCATAAATTAAACCTTAAAGAGACCCTTAAAAATCTCTGTCTATTTATTTCCAAATGATATTCACTAATCGCTTGCTTTGCTTTGTATTATTCACCTTATTGTGAGAATTATGGGTTCGCTTTGAATTAATGCTATTATTGAGGGATGGCTGTACCGTGGATTTGATTATCCTGTGTTGGCTATGATGATTAATTGTTGCTGTGATATATCCCTAATTCCTGAAGTTATTATAGGGAAATAATTGTTGGGAACTCCGACAGGCTAGGAGCCATGAAAACATTGTGCACAATTTTAAGGCAGTAGACAAAATGAGGCATTTTAATTATTTTTGCTGCTTCAGATTCATTATAACATCTGTTTTTCCCTGTTTGATCATAACGAGTAAATTTTTTGTCCAATATAAACATTATTAATTAGGGCGTAACGAATTACAGCATAAAGCCCCATTCACATAGGTGGTAGTGCAGTGCTGTTGCGGTGCGGTGCCTTTTTATAAAAGTTTGAAATACGCATACCCATATGACAATTCACAATGACATGTGCAGTGCAGACGAATTGCAGCCGCGTGCCGAAAGTATGTAAACTTCAAACTTTCTGCACTGCACCGCACACTACGGTAGCAAGCACCAATAGGAACGCATCATGTTTGTAATGGCAATCTGTCACAGCTAATTACATAAGCTCTTCATAGTGTTTGCGCGGGTTGTGCATTTAATTTAATTGTTTGATTGATGGATTTTGACGATTTGCTGTTGCTATTGTTGTTTGTTGTTCATAATTTTGTAGAATAAAATAATCCGCACGCGCACCGATTTTACGGTGATTGTGAATGCAGATGCCAAAATGACAGCACCGACCCACACCCGCACCGCACACCATGACAACGGCACCGCACTACCACCTATCTGAATGGGGCTTTACGCCGCGTAAAAGTGGAATTAATTCACATTTCAAAAAGGAATTATAACTTACAATTTACAGTGTATCCGTTAGTTTTAGATTACCTTTCATTACTTTTGCTAAAAATTATATTAGTCAGGTTTCATATTTATCTGGATAGTTCAATGAGTTTTTCGATTAACTTTCCTAATTTTGAAGTCTCTTACACCATACAGCACTGACATTTACTTGAATAGATAGTTTTTTGAGTTTTGTGAAGAGATAACAGCCGCAGAGGAGAGAGCGGATGGATGCTCTAATTTCTTAAAACCGTATTTGTTAATTACTTCTTGAACAATATCAGCATATAGCCACTTTCCAGTTCTTATTTGTGTTTTTGTAGACATCTCCCGGTATTATAGATCCCTTTGCCCTATGGGTACTCAATTCAGGAGCGCGCGTCCCAAAGAACGGTGTCCATAACTTGCGCCCCAGAAAATTGCGCCATCACCTCCTTGGGTGGCGAAGAGCCTTTATGAAGCCATTTTTAGCGCATTTCAACATAAATAAAGGATGCGCTGTTGTGGCTACTTTGTCCGCCTGTTTCTCCGTCCGTCTGTTCGTCTCTACGGCTGTGTCCGCCTGGAGATTAGGGATGTATGAGATATATGCTGTGCGTATTTAGCCACATTTTCTCGGTCATTTTGATTACGTAGGATACGCCAGGCTCCTGATCTTTGAACAGATATATTGCTAACAATGCTTTAAGATTAAGTTGCATTCCAATTTTGTTCGGATATGATTTGCGGTCCTTTTTCAAAATAATATTATAAGAGCCAGAGGAAACAGCGGAATGCATTAGTTTTTATTATTATGAACTTTCAAACTTTCACGAAAATACATTTCCCTATATTTTAAGTCGCATGTATTACAAATATCCGACACACAGATACCGTTAAAGGGTGGATACAGTACCTTACACCCTTCTTTGTAAGCAATTTTCTAAGCTACAAATTTTTGCGAAGAAACCGATCATCAGCGTAGCATCCTTAGCGACACATCGGTGCCATTTCGGTGGAGATTATCGGGATATTACTTAGAACCACACAAAGATAATTTAACTTTCCTCTATTTTTTCCGAAATTGGTTTCCAAATAGATGTTTTAGTCTACCTCGCCCCTGATTTTTTTCAAAATAATTGTATTAGGAGCACAGAAATGATTTTCTAATCCTTACTCTCATGTTCTTCCGATACTGACATCCCTTCAAGAAATAATTATTTGTATTAGGAAAGAAGATAAATTAATGTGCAATACCTTCTCCCCCCATACTAAATTGGTTTCCCTATATATATACACTCATGGTATTTTTGTAAATAGTTAATTGTATTAAGTGTCGCAGAAAGTGACATTCAAATATCTGCTCTCATAGTCTTCTGATACAGCCACCTTCTCAAAAGATAAATTATTTGTACTAATCAAAAATAATTTACAAATCTAATAATTCGGCAATCAAAACGGGCAACTTTTGCTTTGTGATAACTTCTAAACGTAACAGAAACGGCACATTTATCTTTGTTTTTATGCTTAAAAAATAAGAAAAGCGACACGTATCGTAATCGTATCGTAATTCTATATTACGTGAGTACAATAAATTTCGTTTAATTATTTTGATTATTTTTATAAAGCTTCAACTCTGTGCACTGGTTTGAAATTGTATGTTAGAAAACCAGTACAATCAATTTTGTTTTAAGGTACAAGAATGGGAGACTTATTTCAACTCCGAATTTTGTTTAAATTACTATTTCTAAAAAGTTTGATTATTGGAATGAGCAAAGTTCTTGACGGTGTTAAAGTTTAATTTATTCGAACTTCGTGATTGGTAAAATTTTGAGTTTGTTTTGTGTGTGCGTAGACATTAGGGGTGTAGGCGGTATTGACGGTGAAAATTAAAAATCTTTCGGTGATTAATTATTTGAATGTTGATTCTATTTTTTATTTAGATTGTTCCTTGCAGAATTATTAGAGTTATTGATACGATTAAATTTAGGAGGTTGAAGTTTAAATAGACAATTGGATTAATTTATAAGCACCAATTCGTTAGCAACTTAAAATTCATTTGGTGTTTCGAATGTGCCTAATTACAATCTCGTGCTATATCGGTTTTAATGTAGCCATGTATAAGTTGGACTTTTTTCTTTCAATGTTGCTAACATTTTGATGGTTTAATAATGCCTCGTCAGGAATTTTAATTGCAGACTAATTTTATCATACCTCTTTAAATTCTTTTCTGAACAATAAATGGTTCGAAAATTTGTAAATAAGTGCGTGTATTCCTCTATTTTTTATTTTAAGTTACTTATAAAAGTGTAGGTAGTGGTCATTCGACTCTCTCACCTTTCCTTTCGATGTCTATGAGAAATGCAATGCAAAATGCACCATAGAATCAATAATACACTTTGATATAGTTTTTAAATGCACAAAATTATCATGTTTATTTTTCTTACAGGGACATGGAAGAATGCAACTCGTTAGACGAAAGCGTGGAGAACCTGGATAGAAATTCGTTGACATCGTTCGGTTCAGGAAATACAACGGATTCTGACAAGGTAGGACGTTATTTACTTTTCGCACGATCGGGCGTTTTTAAAATAATACAAGATATGAGAGGAGGGTTGTAAGTGATACTTACCACACTAGATCTGTTAGATCTAATACGTACTCCAATGCTTACGTTAAATATCATACTTCATAACAACACAGAAATATGAACTGAATGTTATGTAATACACTACGAGTAATAGAGGGCAAACATTTTACCTATTTCATGCTGAATGAACAATTTGGACAATAATTATTAAAAACGATAGGAATTTGGTTTTTTCAATTAAATTTGTAATTGAATTTTGAGAAAGAATTGACACTGGAATATTACTATCTACTTTAAAATTACTTGAAACTGAACTTTTACTAGGACCTGAAATTTGTGATGTCTCCACGATAGCAATTCCATCGTTCAAAACTTTTCGCGCGAATTTCTCCTTATTTTTAATAGATTCTTCTAAGTAGGTATATTACACTGACTAGAGGATTTCCATCGCGATATTAAATTTGTTTTTTGTATTGTTTTTTCCTAGGTCTACTTTTCAATGACAAAATCTCTTTTGAAGGGTGCCAAATTTTATGCATCCAAAATAACTTCTTAAAACAAATATCTGACTATCATATTAATTAATTTGAATATTGTCGCTTTGACTTCACAGACAATAAATCTTTTACGCTTCTTAAACTATTACCGGCACTATACCAATTAATAGTATCAAATTTTTCTCCAGTTGAATACATCGCACACGAACGATATAAAAATACGCAAGCTAAAGTAACAATAGTAAAATTAATTATAATATGACAGCCAGATCTTTATTCGTTTTAAGTTATTTTGGTTGCATCAAATTAGGCATCTTTCATGAAGAGATTTTGTCATTTAAAAGTAGATATAGGGAAAAACAATACAGGTAAATCCCTACGTCTATTTTTTAGTAAATATCACTGTATATCATGAAAGCCTACGGCTTCAAATACTTGTGTTAAATAAATGTGATTCTTGTTAAATTCACATTTTAACAGTCTTTATTTACTTAATTACATAGGCTTTCTCCAGGAGGTCTTTGGATTTCTAAATTCACGTTCTAGTATTGTGTGACGCACGATTACTGTTTTATCTTAGCTATTCTCATAATGCTGCTTATTCATTTCGTCATATTAATTCTTTCTTCCCAATGTCCAGATCCAGACGGGCGTCCGATCCCTCCTCTGTACCCGGTTATTTCTTGAATTGTTCCTCTATATTGGTCAAAATGGCAGGGTTTTCGAGGGTTACGAATACTACCCATCCAAATTTTTTGGAATGGTTTTCGCCGCACCATGTCTCGTCAGTAAAAATATATATTCCATCCTGTTTAATTGAGCAAATATTCTGCTCTTTTACAGCTATTGCTGTTGCTTACATTAAAATGGGTCTCTGCTCCAATTTCCTATAGGCAAAATTCGTGTTTTTTCCATCTAAAATGAAGCGTGTTGAAAAATCGTCCGTTTTATCAATGGTACTTTGACTAAACTTCGATAGTCATTCTGCGTAATTAGACCATCAACGCACGTTGCTTTTTAAACAAGAACGACACCGAGGAGTGCCATATTTTTCTGAAGCTACATTTTCGTAATGCTTTTAATTGTATCAACAGACTAAAAATGGAAAGGAAATTATTCCTCAATATTATCATTTTTTCTTACAACAATATATAATAATAATAATAATATATATATTGGACGATGCTACCTTGGATGGAACCCCAGACACGGTTTTTCAAGATTTATAAACTATTATTGATGCAAATATCAAGTAAGGTTCGGAGTTAAATTGGGGAAGATGCGAAGCATTTATTTTCTGACGTTCTTCTTTAGATTATAGCAGAATCGAAGAAAAATTAAAAGGTTTTTCAGTAGATATAAAATGTATGACAAAAGGATAATCCGTCAGTTCTCGGTATGAAGCCGCACAGATGAACTTGCTCTAATGACTTCTCGTTTAAACGTTATTCTCCCTTCTCAGCAAGCCTTATATCTACTTCGTCATTGTTACAGCATTCCAAAATTTCTTTATCTATTATGAACATACCCATCCTTTCACCAGATAGATTTACTGCGAGTATTCGATCACCAATTATAGATTTCTGTTGAAACGTTCACTAATGTAAAAATGAAATTTGGGAAATTGCAATGCTGCCAATCATAATTTACAGGTTTGGGAATTCGGTCTGCTGAAAAACTAGCTGTTCTTGTCTTTTTGGCATCGATGCATTCTGTGGTCGATCTTCTTGACGAACTAACTAGAAAACACCTTTCAATATGGAACCATACTTGGAAAAAGGCCTAAATTTAAGGAAATAAAAGGCAACAATTGTTACACTTATCTTCCTTGAATGTAAACTAAAAAAAGTTGGGACTATCCTTTAGTAAAACAACGTCATGAAGATTTGATAACGCGATCTCAAAAAAAATCCTCTACAAACGTTTTTTGTTAGTAAGTTCTGCGGAATCTGGAGCATTTTTGTATGCACAACCCGTACTCAATTTAGGAACACTTTTAGACAACGACACTTTTCGAATTGCAATTGACCTCACTATTGGCATTGTAGGACTAAAGTATAGGTTTATCCTGCGAAAAAATGGCTGGACGTCGGTTTAACCGACACACTTCGTTAAGCAACATTATTTCATTGACGTCAGCTGCTATAGATCCACCGCAGAATTAGAAGAAAAACCAGGTGTCATATTCTTGACAGAATAGCTTCCTAGCTGAAACCAAAAATTGCCAACATATGTACGCACTTACCCATTTCCCACAGTTTTACTGAACTCCATATTTGCCAACTTTCTTATTTGTAGAGATATTTCTTTGAAATTTTAACCACAGATGCTTCTAGTAATGGCAACATATCGCAAATCGTAAAAATCAGGTGTGCATATGCGCGCAAACTGCGCAATGCCAACTTTTTAATGTATCACAACGATGTTGAGGTAACGCTTATGTGCTTGTGTTTTCGTATGTTTGTCTATGTCCGTCCGTCTGTTCCATCGAGATCTCGGCCCCTGGGTCACCAAGAGACTTCAGATTTTCGCTAATTGATAGCTGCTATGGTCTATATTTGCCCATTACTCATCATTTACAATGTGTTACGCGGCAATACCCACGAGTGGGTTTTGAAACATTTTTTGGTAATAAAACCCGATACAATTTTTGTAGGTTGTACACAGGAAGATAAGATCTTCCAAATAACTCAATAAAAATTTCAGGTTACTATTTGAAAAAAAATTTTGTTTGCTTTTATTAGAGGGACCTACCATCCAAATTTCGTTAAAATTGGTCCATAAATAAGAAAGTTGGATGTTGCACATGCGCAACACTATTTTTTGCGCATGCATTTTGTTAGCTTTTATTAAAAGGACCTACCATCTAAATTTCGTTAAAATTGTTCCATAAATAAGAAAAATTGCATTTCTGCGCATGCGCAACACGATTTTTGCGCATGAATTTTGTTTGCTTTTATTAAAGGGACTTACCATAGAAATTTCGTTTAAATTGCTTCAGAAACAAGATCGTTGCGTTTTGCACATATGCAACACAATTTTTTTGACTTTGACAATTTTTTTCTCCGTTTTTTGATAATATAACCCGGCCCAATTTTTTGTAGGTTGTACACAGGAAAATAAGGTCTTCCAAATAATAGAATAGAAATTTTAGGTTGCTATTTGAAAAAAAAAGTTCGATGCCGTTACGGCGCTCCAAAATTTTTTTTCAAAAATCCGTCCCGTTATTTTTCTGTTCGGTATGCCTAAAACATATATACAAAATTTCAACAAAATCCGTCGAGCCGTTTTCTCAGAAAATTGCCAACAAACGTACGTACGTACGTACATACAGACGAAAAAAAATTTTATTCTTTAAAAGTTGCTTAAAATGGTCTAAAACGTCGACATTTGATGAAATTTTGAAATGTTCAAAAAACGGCTATCGCAATAGCTACCTACCACATGCTAGGAAGCTAAAAAGATGCTAAAATATAGTAATCTACTAGACCGTTTCATTTTCTACCCTTTCAGTATTGAAACACTTCGCCCTTGATGGGGTCCATCTGAAAAAAAATTGCTTCAGAAATTTATAAAATTTGTTCGAATAAACTCAAGAGAAACGTTACTGTGAATTTTTAAGCTTAGCTGTTCAGCAGGGAAACACCGCTCGTATTTTATGCACTATACTGCAACAGACAGCATTTGATGTAATTTTTTATATTTTACGTGTGTGCCTACGCTAAATCTATTTTATGTTTTAAACAGTTTTATTTATATTATATGTCCCTACTCAAAAAATTTTCAGAAAACTGTCATGTTTTCCGACTATTGTCTTATCCGAAATTAACAATTCTGTACCGAAGTATAAACGCTCCGAAAAAACCCTACACAAATAAGAAAGTTAGTCTTCAGCCGCCAGACAGACAGATAGAATAAGACGATTTGGACCCTGAATATATCTATACATTTTGTGTACTGTTTGTTTTCAAGTGTAAACAGTTTTGCGGTCGAGAGTTTTGGCCTTTTACTTTGTCTATTTGCGCTTGTTGATGCAATCGACCGTAATGGAAAGTCAATAATTGATTTAATTTGAAACGTTTAAAACTGCACCATTAATAATGCGGGAGCGCGTAGAATGTTTAGATTGTGTAACCTAATTAAAGGTCCAAAGGCGATGGGATTGGTTTTAATGTCATCGGGTCATGAAATTGTAAAGTGCCTCCAGAGGCCCTAAATATTTCTTGCCGGCGAACTAATATCAACCCTCGCTCGCTGCTGCTGCTGATGCGGTACGAAATTTAATATTCCTCGAAAACTAAATTCACCTGGAAAGGAAAATATTAATGTATCTATTAACGGTAACGAATTGGTTTATTTCGTAATTCGCAATTAGAGGGCTCCGTAAATAAATTTAAGGTCTTGGTATTATTATCACTAATGTGATTGTTGTGTTACGGTAATTAAACTATGATACTGCACC